TCCCTTCCCCTCCCCACAACAGACACCCTGTGAGGCAGGTGGGGCTGAGAGAGCTCTTGACAGAAACTGCTCTTTTTCAAGGACAGCTCTCATCAGAACTATGGCTTGCCCAAGGTCATCCAGCCAGGTGCAAGTGGAGGAGTGGGGAATCAAACCCGGTTCTCCCAGATTAGAGTTCGCACACTTCACCACTGCACCAAACCAGCTCTCTATATGGGAAGAGGCAGTCCCTTAGGTATGTTGGTCCCAGGCCTGGGGAGGTGGGTCTTTTAGGCTCCAAGGGCCAGCAAGGCTTGGGGAGGGCGAGGAGCGGGGCATGACTCCCCCCCCCAGCAGGCCCGGCTACTTCTTTCGCATCCCTGGCCGTCACCATGAGAATTTTGCCTTCGGGTGAGTCCTTCCATGTTAGCTCTGGATTTTGAGTGGGGGAACTCGGAATGCACACAGGTCCCATTATTTTTCACGCATTGCTTCTTGCTGGAAGACACGCGTGGGCATGCGTGGACACGTGAAGCGGCCTCATACTGAATCACACCATCGGCCCGTCGAGGTCTGTATCAGGCAGCGGCTCTCCTGGGTCTCAGGCAGAGGTCTTTTCCATCACCTCCTGCCTGGTTGTTTTTACTGGAGATGCCGGGGATTGAACCTGGGACCTTCTGCATGCCGAGCAGATGCTCTGCCACTGAGCCACGGCCCCTCCTTACAGCTCTCCAGGGTCTCAGGTGGAGGTCTTTCCCATCACCTCCTGCCTGGTCCTTTCAACTGGAGATGCTGGGGATTGAACCTGGGACCTCCTGCATGCCAAGCAGAGGCTCTGCCCTCCCGTGGGGCTGGAACTCCAGAAGCCCTCCCACAGCTGCCCCCCAAGCACCAAGAATACAGGGCATTACTGCCCCAGACAGAGTGTTCCCTCTGTCTCTTGTGGCTAATAGCCACTGATGGACCTCTGCTCCAGATGTTTATTGAATCCCCTCTTTGAGAGGTCTCTGCTTGTAGCCGCCACCACTTCCTGCGGCAGTGAATTCCATGTGTTCATGACTCTTTGGGTGAAGAGCCAGTTTGGTGTAGTGGTGAAGTGTGCGGACTCTAATCTGGGAGAACCGAGTTTGATTCCCCACGCCTCCACGTGCAGCTGCTGGATGACCTTGGGCAAGCCGTAGTTCTGTCAGAGCTGTTCTCTCAAGGACAGTTCTGGAAAGAGCTCTCTCGGCCCCACCTACCTCACAGGGTGTCTGTTGTGGGGAGGGGAAGGGAAAGGAGTTTGTGAACCACTCTGAGACTCCTTTGAGTAGTGAAGGGCGGGGTATAAATCCAATCTATTCTCTTCTTCTTCTTCTTCCTTTGATGTGTTCTAAGACTACTACTCATTACTTTCCTGGAGTGCCGCCAAGTTCTTGTATCATCCTTGTCCAACGATACTAGTGCCATACCACTAGTCCTAACCTCTAAGAACACCCTCTCTTGTTAATGAGCGCCAACTTGGGGGTAGTGGTTCGAGTGTCAGGCTAGGATCTGGGAGAAATGGGTTCAAACCCCCGCCCTGCCAGGGAAGCCGGCTGGGTGACCGTGGGCCAGTCACACACCCTCACCCTCGCCTGCCCCACAGGTTGGTTGTGAGGATAAAATGGAGGGGAGGGGAAGGATGCAAGCCTCTTTGGGGCCCCACCGGGAAGAAAGTCAGGGCATAAATGAAGTTAATTAATGAATTAATTATAGTAGCCGGGAGTTTAAGCAGCAGCGAACACGTGCTGCAAAGTAAAAGTGTTGTAGCAGCAGTCATGAGAACATAAGAGAAGCCAATGTTGGATCAGGCCAGTGGCCCATCCAGTCCAACACTCTTCTGTGTCACACGGTGGCCAAAAATACCAGGTGCCACCAGGAGGTCCGTCAGTGGGGCCAGGACACTAGAAGCCCTCCCACTGTTGCCTCCCCCCAAGCACCAAGATGACAGAGCATCCCTTGCCCCAGACATAAGGACATAAGAGATGCCAATGTTGGATCAGGCCAATGGCCCCTCCAGTCCAACACTCTGTCTTACATGGTGGCCAAAAATACCAGGGGCCATCAGGAGGTCCAGCAGTGGGGCTAGGACACTAGAAGCCCCTCCCACTGTTGCCCCCCTACAGAGCATCCCTTGCCCCAGACTGAGAGTTCCTATCTATACCTTGTGGCTAAGAGATACTGATGGACCTCTGCTCCATATGTTTATCCAATTCCCTCTTGAAGCCGTCCAGGCTCGTAGCCGCTGCCACTTCCTCCTGTGGCCGTGAATTCCACATGTGAATCACTCTTTGGGTGAAGAAGGACTTCCTTTTATCCGTTCTAACCCGACTGGTCAGGAGTCGTAATCAGATTTTACACCTTCAGTTGTTGATATGTGTTTTTGGCTGTGGGTGGATATCTATTCACAGCTAGTAGCCTTGATTGGTAAATAAAACCTCCGCATGCAGAAGCAGTGTACCTCTGAATCTGGTGTAATGAACAATTACTCAATTTTAATGAATTATCATCCGAATGTGTGTGTGTGAGAGAGAATGTGTGCAAGAGAACTGTGCGCGTGCAGGAAGGTCTCTGGTGTTGCACAAACTGGGTGTACTTCTGTCCTCAGAAGCCGTTGTTATTTTTTTTTAAATTGTGTGTGTTATAAGTGCAGTCCCTTTGCTTCCGACTTATGGCCACCCGAAGAAGGCCTGCTCTCCCAAACGCCCGGCCACTAACAGCTTTGCGGGGGTCTCGCAAACTCCGGGCCTTGACGGAGTCTCTCCATCTCCTGGTGGGCCTTCCTCTTTTCCTGCCGCCTCCCACTTTTCCTATCGTGATCGCCTTTTCCAGCAACTCTTGTCTTCTTATAATGTGAACAGTTTGGTGTCGTGGTTAAGAGCGCGGACTCTAATCTGGGAGAACCGGGTTTGATTCCCCACTCCTCCACTTGCAGCTGCTGGATGACCTGGGGCAAGCCATAGCTCTGTTCGAGCTGTCCTTGAAAAAGAGCAGTTTCCGTCAAGAGCTCTCTCAGTCCCACATACCTCACCGGGTGTCTGCTTGAAGTGTCTGCTTGAAGTCGGCTTGAGGAGCAGGGCCGACGTCATGCCGGTGGCGGTCCCGCCCTAAAGTATCTGCCTCAAACAAAATTCTGGAATCAACTGGGCCCTTGGTCTGATCCGGCCGGGCCGCACAATCTCCCTCCTCTGGGCACTGCACAGCGGCCCCCTCCCCCTTCACTCATCTGCCCCCCCCTCCACAGGCCTCCCCACCAGACTCAGCCACAACAACGAGAGCTGGTCGCCAAACAACGAGAGCTGGTCGCTGAACAACGAGAGCTGGTCGCTGGCCGTGGAGGTGTCGCTCCGTGCCGGCCCGCAGAAAGGGACGATCGTGGCCGTCTCGCCTTCAGCGCAGGCCCCGATCCTCAGTCTGAGGCTGGAGGACACGGTGAGATGCGCACGAGGGGGGGGGCTGCAGGCAGTGGGCTGCCAATCTTGAGGGCGGGGCAAGAGTTCTCCCAGAAATACAACCGATGCTCCCTCTAAGCTGTGGAGTCCCGTGAGCAAAAATTCTACTTGGTGAGCTCCCGGCATGAAAGTTGTGAGCGAGCGATTTGGCTGCCGCATGAATCAGTTTGCTCTGGAGCCACGTCCTTCCTGAGCGAAGACGAAAATGTGCGAGCTGGGGGCTAAAAAAGTGTGAGCTGCTGGCTCACACTAGCTCAGCTTAGAGGGAACACTGATTACAACCCACCTGCAGGCGACAGAGATCTGGTCCCCTGGAGAAAATGGCTGCTTTGGAGGGCAGGGGGTGTACCCTGCGGAGGCTCCTCCCCTCCCCAAACCCTGCCCTCGTCGGGCCCCACCTCCAAATTCTCCAGGACTTTCCCAACCCGGAGATGGCAACCCTATGCAGTCATCGGTGGCAGACCCCACGAGCGGTCAGTGGGCTCCTGGAGAGATTCATTTCCCAACGGTTGCTAAACTCAGGACTCATTTCTGACATCCGGGGACCTCTCACCACGGAATGCAGTGCGATGTGGCTGCGAAGAAAGCGAATGCAATCTTAGGATGTATTAACAGAAGCATTGTGTCCGGATCAAGGGAGGTGGTCGTTCCGCTCTGTTCTGCTATGGTCAGACCTCACCTGGGGTACTGTGTCCAGTTTGGGGCACCACATTTTAGGAAGGGTGTTGACAAGCTCGAGCGAGTTCAGAAGAGGGCAACCAGGATGGCAGGAGGGTTGGAATCCAAGTCTTAGGAGGAAAGGATGAGTTGGGTCTGTTTAGCCTGGGAAAGAAAAGGCTTAGAGGGGACATGATTGCAGTCTTCAAATATTGGAAGGGCTGTCATGTAGAAGACGGAGCAGATCTATTCTCTCTTGCCCCGTGATTGCAAGACTAGATCTAATGGGTGGAAATTACAAGGCAGTTGTTTCCGGCTGAATATCAGGAGAGACTTCCTAACTGTAAGGGAGGTTGAGCAGTGGAACAGACTGCCTCGGGAGGTGGTGGATGCTCCTTTTCAAGCGGAGGCTGGACGACCGTCTTTCGGGTATGTTGTAGGTATGTAGGGCTCTCTTTCAAGCTCTGCTCCTGCAGAGTGCCGGGGGTTGGACTAGATGACCTGCAAGGTCCCTTCCAACTCTAACATTCCATGATTCTATAAGGGAGAGGAGGTCCGCCTCCCTGTCCCTGACAGGCTTCTCCTTGTTTCTCGCACCAGGACCTGATAGCCCAACTGGGGGAGAAGGTGGTTCTAAAGATCCCGTTGCCCGGGGCGGGCTGCCCAACTTCTGATCTCCAGCTGCGCGTCACTTCCGCAGAGCTCACCTTGCGCCTGAGCACCGGCGAGACCTCCGCGCCGATCCCGGAGGCCGATTTCAAGTCACTGCGGCACCTCTGGCTGAGTGGGGAAGGCCATCTCTTCATTGGAGGGCTCCCTGGTGGGTCTTTCTCAGAAAGGGGGGTGTTGTGGTGGTGGGGTGTGTGTGTGGTGGTGGGGGTTTGCCCATCGTCTGCTGTCGCATCCAGTCAGCCTGGACGGATTGTTTTGAATGGGGCTAATTTCATAGGAATAAGGAGGCATTTTGATAGTGACATTTTGCACGGAAAAGAAAAGCTCTCGTGCCAGGCCACACTAGTTTTATTAGAGACCGTGCCTAGCCACAGAAAGGGGTATCCCACCGAACTATCCACCGGATGGGGGCAGATCGCATTGCGAGTTTGAACGTGGCAGGAAGTCAGTGTGAGGATCGGGCCCCGTTGAGGTGTGTGTGTGTGGACACAACACCAGCCAGAAATGAATCCCCTCAGCCACACACACTTGAGACAGATGTTTTGGT